TTGATAAATATTTTATTTTATTTAATATAATTAAATTTGTTTTAAATTATTTTGATTAACCAGGTAACCTATCATTAAGTACGTACATGACGATTTGTTTCTAAATAAAAAGCTTTTATAATAATTATGGAAAACCCACATAAAATCGTCTAAAAAAAAAAAACAAATCATTAGGAAAAATTATCTACTTTGTCGTTAGGAACATTGTCATCTATTCAGAGGTAGGAAGGTCCAGCAATCTCTTGATTGATGGCTGTATGGTCCAAAGCCAATTTGTTTTGTATGTCATCCTTAAGTCTAAACAGAACATGTCTAATGTCTGAATTTCCAGATGGTACCAGTCTCACAGCTTCTTGAATGTCTGATAATGCATCATCATATCTCCTACAAAATAAAAAAATACCACAATAATTTTCCATGACACTTTATTACTGTTTTGCAGTTACATACCTCAGATCTTTAAGAGCTTTGGCTCTGGCATAATATGCTTCAAATGATGTTGGTTTCAGCTTCAGTACTTTTTCTGCAAATTCAATAGACTCGTGGACTTCCTAATATAACAATTATTTTGTCTTCAGGTCTTGATAATGTGTAAGTGTTATAAAAACAATATACTTACATTCAACTTCCTTTTGCAACGCGAAGTGTTCAGATAAAAGTTAATCTGAAGTTGCTTGAATGTCGAGTCTAGTTCATTTTCTGGTGGGAATTTATTCAGAGCATATGTGTATCTATAGGCAGCCTCCTTTAATCTTCCTTTTCTGTAYAATGTGTTTCCATCTTCCAAAAGCTTGTTGAGCAAAACCAACCTACATAATAGTTTGTATTGTTAACAAATGATTTTGTATACAAACACATAAGAAAATTGAAAAAAAATTATGCTTACATTATGTCTGGTTTTCCTGATGCCATATTCCATGTTGTTGGGCCAAGCTTAGCACCTCTTCTTAAAAAGTTTTGCACTACTGGTACATTTCTACAGCTGATTGCTCTGTCTAAAGGACGCATTCCATAAAGGTCAACATGTTCAATCAATGCTCCTCTTTCTAATAAAAGCTAAAAAGAAAAAAAATTATTATACATTTTTACATTATTAAAATATCTGACAGTTATTTTATATTATATAATCCCTACCTGTACTAAGGCTGGATTTCCGTTTAAAGTTGCCAAATCAAGAGCAGTTTTTCCTGACTTATCTGCATGATCGATGGGTGCTCCGCGATCTAGTAGATATTGGGCAATAGCTACTCGTCCTTTCAGACAAGCCCAACTTAATGAAGTCTGTCCATGGCGATCTTCAGCACTTAAATCAGCACCTAAATATAATTAATATAAAATATAATATACTACTAGACAAATTCTACACTAATTATCTATAGTAAAACTTGTATAACAAATTAAAAGTAACCATTATAAAAGTTTATAGTAAAATTAAGAAGTATATAATATATACCTAAAGCATTAATATTATATTAAATTCAAAACAGATTAAAAAACATTTTATTGTTATCTAAAAACAATTTGTCATTAATAAAACCATATCGTTTTAAAGCATGATATAATTGTGTTTTGTAGACATATAGATTTAAGCATTAATTTTGCACTAGATATTATCTTAAGTGACAATATTTATAATGCATAATTTAAATAAATCTTTTGTTTTTTTGTCATTATAAATTGTATTATTACATACAGCCTCAAAATAGAGTTGTAGGTACACTTGACTTTATAAGTTTAGGTACTGTTTAAGATTTTAAGTGCATATAACAATAGTATGGAAACAACAGTACTAAGAATTCATTATATTAATCTTTTGAATCATTAAATTTAAAATTTAAGATTTAAAAACTAAACGCCTCCAAAATTACATGTGTTTGTTTAATAATGTGCAGACATTWAAAATTTTTTAATAGAAGATTATTCAATGTAGATATGTTTACATAATATACATTGTTATTTATGTGAAATAAAAATTTCCTTACCACTGTCTAGGAGAAGCTCAACAATACCAGAATGGTCTTCGGACGCGGCCATCATTAATGGCGTCCTTTGATCAGAGTCGACAATATCGACGTGGGTGCCGCTGTGCAATAATGTCTCGACCACCTCCCATTGACCGTCACGAGCGGCCAGCGCCAGCGCATTCATGCTCTGCAAACACATGCCATAAAATAAGTAAACGATGTTAACTCACRGTTAACGTCATGAACCATGAACGCGGTTATTACCTTCACATTAGCAGAMGACACTTGGGCGCCACGGTCGATCAACAGTACCACGGTAGATTTGTGACCATTGGAAGATGCCAGAGTCAGTGCCGTCTCTCCCGACAGGCTGTCCTGCCCATCCACGGTAACCTCCGCCACATCCAGTAGGTATTCAACGACGTCGTCCACCCCACGTCCAGACGCTTGGACCAGGGCCTGCTGCGAGGCGTCCGTGTGATCGACCTCAGCTCGCGGGTCGGTCACGGTCCACTCGCAGCCCGACAAGAACGCCACTACGTTAAAACGTCCGTTTTTTGCGGCTTCCACCAGCGGGCACCTGTTGCGGAGGAGAATAGAATAAGAAAGTCTCGGTCAGTGAAAGCGAAACGCATCGGATTTTCTACAAATGGTTTAGGTAGAATTCGTAATATGAAAACATTTTTTTTTTTTTATTCGCAACATTATTTCATAATCGTTATATCACAAAAAAATTCTTTTCGGATAGTCTTTCACATTATTTGAGATGGTTTGAGATACTAAACATATTATCATAATATTTTTTATTAAAAAAAAAGATTTACAAAACATTTGATATTTCTATATTTGTTTGCAATAATTGTATTATTATTTAAATATTAATATATTTGGATAAAGGTTAATTCAAAGTTTTTACTTATTTTAAAATTGTAGATTACTTGATTTGTTTATTTTTGGAATTCTGAGGCATATTTATGTACCTTTAGCTTGTACGACATACAATTTTTTGTGCGTAATAGTGTATACTATTTAACATTTTTGAGTTTTTAGTGTTTTCACTGCATTTAATCATAGCAAATTTAAATATTTTTATAACATTAACTACTGAAATATTAAAAATTAAAAAGTGCTTCGACTGATGAAAAGTATACTGTTTTATTTATGAACTCAAATCCTATTTTATTTATAATATAGATTCTAAAATAATATGTTTTTCGCTAGATATTTCAGTTTTTTAGATTACCGATTTCTGTTTAATTTTTTTTCGATTTCAGGTAATTTTTTTGACAACTCACCTGCCAGCCGAATCTGTGAGCCCGGGCGACGCGCCAGCCTCGATCAGCAGTTTAACAACATCGATGTGACCCCGGCTCGCGGCCATCCACAACGGTGTCCGTCCTTGGCTGTTTGATACGTTTACGGAGGCGCCGAATTCCAACAACACCGCCACCATATCGTAAACGCCTTCATAAGCGTAAACACAAATGGCGGGAGCTCGTCCCAACATATCCGTCCGGACGTCCGGCGATGCTCCGGCTAGCAACAGTAGTCTCGATACTTTGACATTCGGCGCGTACGTGTTGCGCATGGAGCACAGTGCGGACGATACGTTGCTCGACACTGAAGCCAACCAATTGGCCTGTAAGTCTCTGGACGAAGCGCCGTCCAAAGGTTGTARCGAAACGTTCTTGTACAAATGGGCTTTCAGAATGTGATGGCCCAGTTCCAGAGTCTTTTCGCTGTCCAGCGGCGCTTGGAGTCTCGAAAACCGTAAGGCGATTCCCAAATGTCCGTTTCTGGTTTTCAAACGACCATGAAAAACAAAATTAAAATAAAGTAAAAATACGCTTAGAATTGGTAAATGAATATACACATTATTATGCGCAGGATAAAAATAATTTAATGGTTTTAAAATGTTTACAATATTTAAATCAATACATTTTATGTGTATGTATATTTTGAACCACGTTGACGTGCTTTGTATAGAAAATTTAAATATATTTTTCAAAGGAAGGGAACAATTATTATTTTATAGCGGATACAATTACAATAATTGAGTTAGGAAAATATCTTTATATGTCTTTTATTTTGTTTAAATAAACAAAAAGTTTTTTTTTTAATATTCGAAATGTATAAAATGATATCATTTCAATACAAGAATTCAAACCAAGTATATTGAAATATGAAAAATAGGTCGATTACTAACCTTAAATCACACACGAATTTCTTCGACTCACTATCTTCGCGTTTCATAAGCCATTCCCTGAATGACGGGTGGAAGAACATATACGTATTGTCTAGTCGTTTTATGAGTAGTCCCGAGATCAACTGTGGAAAAAAAAGCATTTGAAAATTGACGTTCTCCCCTAAAAGTATGTTTCTGACGTACCTTGAACCTCTGCAAGAACGCCTCCCACGAAATGAATTCGTCAACGTTCAACGAATTAACTGAATAGTAAATTTCCAAAATTGTTAACGGGTAAAGCGCAGCGAGGCATACACTCAAAATATCAGCAACCTTTTCAAACGAGCTTGTCGTCGGAAACCTCAGATTGAAATGGAGCTGATATATCTGAGCCAACGTGACCGGCAACACTTTGAAGCTTTGAGACTTGGCTACCAAGTGGCCCCTCTCGATTAGGTCCAAAGTGAGTTTGGCGAAAAGAAATGACCCATCGCTGGCGGTTTGCAAATGTTGGCAGAACTTCAGCTGTCCCGTTGTTCCGGCAATCAAATTGTTCTGAATACTAGCGCTGTTGGTAACTCGGAAACTGATGTAGTCCATCATGTCTTTTATCACATTTTCTTTGTTCGTAGAGTTTACGTCCACACTATTATACAAATAATAACGAAATAATATTAGTTCCGAGAATTATCAAACGACATAATAATATTATTAAATAGTCAATGAAGAAGTATCAGATTTCAATGCGTCAAAAAATACTTAAATTAAAAAACATGCTACATATGGAATTGAAGCTACGAAACATATGTTATCCGAAAATTATATGGTATTAATTTAATTTAAAAACAAGTCTGAACATTATAACTAAAACCTGTGTTTTACTGTACCTAGTAAAATATTAAAAAATATGCTTTTATGATCAAAAAAATCTAAGAATAACTACAAAACTCGAAAATATCTATAAGTTTGTGCACATGTGCATAAAAAAAAAGATCTACAATGGAAAAAAATTATAGCTTATAATATATATATATATATATTATATGTATATAATATATATATATAATATATACATTATATATATTAAAATGACAAACCACCATATCAGACAGTGACTTACCAAATTTTGGTCAGCGGTAAAGATGGTAACGCGTCTTCCAGGTTAGTCCTCAGTGTAGCAATGACTTTGAGCCAAGCCGGAAACTTAGGCATGTGCTTCACTAAAAACGAAGCAATCGTGTCTCCGTGATCAGGCCGGTGATATTCAGCTTCGCACAAGCCATCGATGACGATCACTAGACCACCGGTGCCAATTGTATTGGCCAGTCTACTAAGTGTGTTTAACGGTTCCAAGACACCTCTCGTGAATGCCGCATCAGGATCTACGATGCACTCACGCATCGACAGCGAATCCTACAGCAAATAAAGTAGAAATATACATTTTTGAACGGTTTTTTCATAACCCACTAACCCAGGTAGGTATCATYACAGTGAAATATATTTATAAGTTACTTGTGAAGTTAAAATTGAAATAATGCATTTAAAATGTATATAATATGGTTAAGCTTATGAGAATACATTATTGTCTAAAATATAATATAAAGACTTAGGTAAATTAGAATCAATTTGATAGCAATAATGTCATTATTTTTATCTTAATGCCACGGTGTGACGCAAATTGAATAAACCATATCAATACAAACAATAGTTTTTAATATTTTGTTTTACAAAATGTTTGTCAAGATCATTATTTTAAACAATTTTTCTTCCTAAAATCTATAAAAAATATTAAGATTAATTATAATATTATATCATATGAATCAAAATTTATTTAAATAAAAAGGTAAAAAAAGCGGGTAAGTCGTGGATGTCGCTCTGCTGTACAGTAGGT